CAGTGCTCGGAGAGGCTGAATGAGGACATGGGACGACTTCAGGGTCCTAGGCTGAAGGGTGTCGGTGGATCGAAATGGAAAGCCAAAAAAAACATAAAAGAAGAAGGAATTCAGGTTGAGTTTCGTGTGGTCTCTAAGACCTCGGAGGGGGATAGAGAGATAAAGGGGACTTTGCAGGCCAGTGACTTGTAGAAAGGTGGGGGGAGGTGGTAGCTGCAAAGCACGTCTGAGTTGTATTGGGCTCCAGCAGGTGAGTTGGTGCTGTCTAGGTCACTGAGTCATTGAGGGGGTCGTGGGACAAACCAGCAATTGACAAAGTGGGGCCCTAGTCCTCGGCCTTTGAAAGTTGCAAAGACAATTAAGGGGTCCCTGTGTAATGTAATGTTGGGGGAGCCTGGGGAAAAGGAGCTACCCTAAGGAAGATAGCAGCAGGCGTAGTAGTCAGTACGCTCAGAGGGAAGGGCCAGAGAGGCCTGTCATAGTGTTGCTGGGGGCCTGATGTGAAGGCTACCCAGCATGTGAGAGGAGCTCCCGGGTCTGCTGGGAGGTAAGGAAACAGGCTCCAAGTGATGGAGAAGTGGCTCACGGCTTAAACGTCACCCCAGTTGGGAACCAACAAAGTTGTTAGACAAGATAAGAAAGGAACATATGGGTCACTAAGATGTTAGCACAGAAGGGTCTCAAGTTAGACTGGGGTTAAGGCCAAGGTAGACCCCTAACAATGACTTGACTTGGAAGATGATTGAGTAGTTGAAGGTGGGGCACCTTGGTCAATTGTATGTGATGGGGTATTTGTTAGCAATTTATAGATGAAGTGTTTGTTCTTGGGGCAGAGATTTGGACTCTTGTGCACTGAGCACAAAAGTGATCAATGAGAATTTTAGAAGGTGGGAAGGATTGGTAGTGAACTAGTTGAGTTTGGAAAGGGGAAGGCAGAAAGATAGTGGGTAAGACTTACATGAGGGTTAAGACCGATGCTTCTTGGAAATCACGCACATGATTGTTGTTCTTCATTTGGTTTTGTGTTTCATGTTTGGCTGCTAGTGATTTGGGACGTTTCAGCAGGAACAGAGCATTACTGTGAATAAAGGTATGGGTCTAAAGTAAAACTTTAAGAAAAGGCTCCTTTGGAAAAAGATCCAAACTTTCAAGATCAGAAAAGGAGCTAGCTGTTAGGTGGACTAACGAGGCTTTGAGGAATGAGGGTTTTGTTGATTATTTGATGGTTTAGGTAAGAGAACTTTTAGGGTAACACTTGGTGGTTTATGGTTTTGGACCTTAGATTATTATTCTGAAGTACAGTGTTGAATATGAGAGGATAAAAGATCCAAAGTTATGGTAGGTAGAGCAGTCACTGGCTAAAAGACGGAGGAACAGTTCCTAGACATAAGTCTAAACCCACAGCCATAAGGCTAAACCTTCATAGGGACCTGAATTGAGGTTTCTGAGGCTATCAATGCAGATAGCCTCATCTTTCTTCTAAGGCACAGCTGGTGGATTTGAAGCTCTAACCTTGTGGTTTGCAGTCCAGCATTTACCCAGTAGCACCGTCCATATATGAGGCTAGGAACTACATATTAGCTCTGGGGCTAAGGTCCATCCGGGTCAGGAATGCCAGGCTGGCTCACGCTATTGAAAAAGTGCCTGTGTATGTTGGAATTTATGAGATGTTTCCCCCATAGCCTTACAAGTGTCTGTTCCTGTGAATGAAGGGAAAATGCTCTCTGGCTTGTAAATAGAGGTTTCACAAGTATTATAGTCAGCTAATGATTTGATCCTAGTGGCATGGTATAGTGGTTGGAGCTTTGAACTTCAAATCAGGAAATTGGTGCTCTCCATAACTTAGCGTGTGACTTTGAAAACCCTTCCCTGCTTATTCTTTGGTTTTCCCATTTATGAAGTGGTTGAGACCACCTTCCCTGACCGCTCAGAACTACACCGCCGTAACACTTAGCATCTCTCCGGAAAGTGCTCGGAACACCTCTGAGAACAAGTAGTTAGCGTACCCTAACTTCTTTTCATTTCTACAAAATGAGCCCCTCTCAGCAGACCACATCCAGCGTTTTGTAGCCTTTATAGCTACATGCTTTATCAAGGAAGTACCCTATACATCGTTGGAGCCCGGGTGGTGTAGTAGTTATGAGTTAGGCTGCAGTTAACTGCAAATTCAGCAGTTCAAAACCACCAGCTCCTCTGCAGGAGAGATGGGGCTTTCTGTTCCCATAAAGAGTTACAATCTCAGAAACTCATGGGTAATTCTACCTTGCCCTATAAGGTCGACTTGATGGCAGTGAGTGTGGTTTACATCTGCCTCAGTTGTCTTGAGTTCCAGTTCTGTATTAGTTTTGAGAAGTGACACCTGCCCTGTTTAGTGGCAAAACACTGGTGGTGATGACAATTGTAGAACTCTGAAAGCAAAGGTCCCCTTGGGCAGAGTGGTATTAAGCTGCTGTGATCACTAACCAAGGTTAATGCCACCCTAAATTTGCTCGGACTCTTACATGAGCCCTGGGGGCATAGTGGATTACACATTAGGATCTTAGCTGCAAGGTCAGCAGTTTGATGCCACCCGGTGCGCCATGGAAGAAAGATGAGGCTTTTGACTCCCGTCAAAAGTTACAGTCTCGGAAACCCACAGGGCTGTTCTACCCTGTCCCCATGGGGTCGCCGTGAGTCTGAATGGACTCAGTGACGGTGAGTTTGGTCTTGAGTTTTGGACACACTGCGTGGGTGCCTTTCCTTTTCTTCAACTGTGCAAATAAGGCTGCGGGATGGCCAGCCTTGCATGGGGGCTGTGCGGGGCTGCAGGCACTTGACGTGGAGATTGACCCTACTGAACCTCTGCAGTCTGTGCCCCCCCCCCTTTTTTTCTTCGTCCAATGAGTCATAGGACCTCTTCTGAGAAAATGTTTTCTAAATGCGTGGAACAAAATGTATAGGATTACAACTGTAATTGAAATAGTTATCAAAAGATCAAACAGCTGTGATACAGTGAACTCTAAGTGTGCTTCTTTAGAACATTAAATGACGAACTGTAACCCCTGTCAAAACCAAACGCACTGCCGTCGGCTCTGACCCAGTCCGACCCATGATGAACTTGGGAGGCCTGCTCCGGGGACTGCCGTCGGCACCCTCTGCTTTCAGAAGGTTGACTTGTCTTAGGGTGACTTGCACGTCAGGCTTGGCAATATTTTCTCAGCGTAGCCTTCATGCGAGGAATAAGATGTAGAAACAAAACAAAAAGTTTAGCTTGCAACTTGTGACCACTGTCCCGACTGTGGAGAAAGTTCAAAGCTGATTGAAATGAGAGATTTTTGCACCTGATGGATTTTGTTTTTCTAGATTCCCCATCACTCATGAGCCTGGCCAACCCTCAGGGTACAATGGTTCAGCGCTTAGCTGCCTGCTGAAAACTGGATGCTTCAAACCGACCTGTGTCTGCGGCG